GATGAAAATATTGCCACAGTTACTGCTAATGAATTAATGGTAAAGAGAAACTGTCATGGCTTATGAATATACCTTAAGAAATAATGGCAAAAATTTGAATGTCATCACTTGTCAGCCTTTGGGCTAAGATCAAGTACAGGAATGTCTACCATATACCGAACAGTTTTCTAAGCCCTGTCACATATATTAAGAGAACACTTTAATTCTTTTACTATCCCACCCCTGAGGTAGATTCTCTCAATATCTCCATTTTATAGATGGGAATGGAAGAAGGAGAATTTTAATAATCGGCCCAAGGTGATAGCATGGTTTGCAGCAGAGACATCGATAATAATCATGCTTTTCTTTAAAGAAATAATTTTACTGGGGCTCGTAAAGCTCTTGTAATAATCCACACATCCACTGTATCAAGTGCATTTGTACATAGGTTGTCATTATTTCTAAACTCTTTCTACTTGAGGCCTTGGTATCAGCTCCTCTTTTATCCCCTCTCTTCACCACCCTCCCAGATAATATCAAGTTTTGTCTATGTGAATTATGTGAATTAGGGTTTTTAAAATAAGAATGTATTTTTAAATATTGTATAAGGGTTGGAAGGCTTGGAGAATCTGTATTTTAGAGCATTTTGACTGTCATGTTTACTGACGGGTTATTGTGCATTAACAATGTCTGTTGTAACTTGTTTCTGCATGATTAAAATATGAAGTTTCAAATTCACCTCTGGATAATGAATGCATTACTACAATACTTTCCAAAGGTAAAATTTTCACAAGTAGTATTACAAAACTATATTTATTTTTTTCACTGTATTATTCAGCCCTTATCAACATTTAGAAGGGAAAAAGTCTATTAAAAACAATAGCTACTTCTAAGTCATATTCATTTATTTAACTCAGTAGTTAGATATAGCAAACTTATTTTCTCCATACAACTGGCCTTACATTAAGCTATGTGTCTAGAAATTTAGTAGACTACGTTACATCTAGAACTCATGTAAACAGCTAGGTGCTCATAAGCAGACATTTGAAGTAAATGAACTACAAACAACAGGGAATTTAAAGCTGAAATACCATCTTAATACTGCTTATATCACATTCAGATTCTAAATTTCTTTTGTTTTGCTTTTGAATACGGCCTTGGGAGAGACTTTGCATATCTTTCTAGACATTTAACATATTAGCCTATTCTGCATTTGGTATTGGGTCTTCTTTGGCTCAGATTTCTCAACATAGCATGTTTAAAAGTGACTTCGATTTACTATAATAATTATTAGTTTATTTTTACTTAATTGGTCCTTGGGTCCACCCTGGAGAATACTTCTCTTAATGATACTTATGTAAAATGTTAGAATAAGTATAACAACATCCGTGACTAGAAGTGGCTACTTACAGTTATTGATATTGAGGGAGCAACCTCGGAAGTAAACTATACTGACCAGGTCAACTTACAGTGTTAGACAGTAATTGTCTTGATCTAATCCTTATTCTCACCTTCTGAGTATGTAGTCAAACAACTAGTTTGCTTTGTAATCATTTTAGGTTTTGTTTTAAAATCATTTTTAGATATAAAAAGCTGCAGAAAGAGTGTATAAAGTTTATGTATATTGTGGATATCACAACATCTCTTCTTCTCAGTGGGCAAGATACAGTTGAAATGTTGTAAGATCAATACTACCCTCTAAAAAGAACCACCGGTCTTACTAGTAGAAGCCGACTTGCAGCACATTAGTGATTGGCTTTAAAAAGTCTATGCCCAACATATGCTGGAGAGAAGTCATGTGTGTGCTAATACTTCTTTTATAATTTTTTAAATAAAAGCTCTCAGCTCCTTTTATGTTTCATAGCTATTCTTTATTTAGGTTAACATAAATCTTTCTGTCCCCACTGTATCTTAATGCTTTCTATTTTAATGGCAAATATTTTTGTTTGAGTATACAAAATGACTTAATATGTGTTCGCTCTTCAGCAAGTTGTTTTTGGCCCCCTCTTCACTTAACCTTCTTTGCTACTAAGTAATTTTTTTCATGAAGTTTTAGGTTTTCTTTTTTTGTTTGTTTGTTTGTTTTTTGTTTTATGTTTTCTTATTCTTTTTTTTCTCTTATTCTTGAAATGCTAACAGAGAGGGTAATTAATTAGCCAGGATTCTCAGCATTTACTATTGCAGACATTCTTTGAGAAGTATTGATTAAGCAATGACAGAGATTGTGAAGTCTGATAATTCATGTTATTCACTTAAAATAACATTAAAGACTTGACTTTTATAGCAGAAAATTAATTTATAGTAGTTTAGATGCTGTAACATGCAATGTAATCAGATTAATGATTCATTTGTATTTCCCTTTTGAAAATTTCTCACTTAGGTGCAAATTAGAAACAAACAAGCAAATACTCAACAACACCGCCCCAAACAAAAGATTTTTACGTAAAATTGTAGCCTTAAAGAAAATTGGGGGAAACCATCATTCAGGGCAGTGAAGAGGGTTTATCCTTTTAACTTATTTTCATTACACCTTTTCACTTTTGCTAGCTATCTTTAGAAAAGATAACACCTTTCTGTTTGGGAATACACTAAAGATAGTTGATCTTTTTGATCCGATGAAGTAAACTCAACTGTCGTTGAGTGGATTCCAGCTCCCAGCCGCCCCATAGAACGGGTTAGAACTGCCCCTGGCAGTTTCCAGGCCTGTGCTCTTCAGAGGGGTAGAAAGCCCTGTCTTTCTCCCTCAGGGCAGCTGATGACTTTGAACTGCTGCCGCCCAGTGCATAAGCACTTACTTTGTAACTTTGCTTTTCGATCTTTAGTATGCTAAGCCCCAAGGATGATAGAGAAAGTAGGATAAAGTAACTAGTGTAGTATTACAGATGACTGCAAGACAGATTGGAAGGCGGTGAGTAGGTGTCCGTTCACTGTGGCTGGTAGGTGCCTTGGTGTGCTGCTTCTGAGGACCACGGCAGCACTCTGCTTAGGTTCTCCCCCTTGACTCCTAGTTTGCACTCTCCTCCATTTTTGGCAGCCACATGTCTCAGAATATCACTTTCTCTTTCTAACTAGTGTTTCTTTTTATTTGTTTTAAGTGCTTAGCTGATCTTTTTAGCACTGTGTCGAAAATAAGAATTAAATAGTCTTGATAAAGGCTTTCTGATTATTTTTATTATTTTACTTGTTTGAATTATGTTTCTTCAAGTTATATTTTAAGTAATACAAAGTTTCCAATGTTTGACTTCTCTGGAGGTAAAAGATCCTTTCATATTTTTATTTATCCCACACTGCCAACTGTACATGTGGCGCCACAGGTGGTTAAGCACTGGGCTGCTAACCCTGGAGGTTGACGTTGTGCGCTCTCCAGCTGCTGTGTCAGAGGAAGATGAGGCAGTCAACTTCTGTAAGGGTTTTACAATCTGGGAAAGCCCATGCAGCATTTCTCTGTTCGGTAGGGTTGCTATGAGTCAGAATACTAATGAGTTTGGTCACATACATGTTTGGTGTGTAGTATCATCTAAGGTTGAAATTAGGATTTTTCTCCTACTGAGGTTTAATTGACTGCTAAACAGGACTTTCTTGTCAGCTTACAGACTTTGTGTACATGTCTTAAACAGGAGGACAAATGAAACCCAAAATGACAGGTTGAATTTAGGCATTGAAGTGGAATTAGAAAATATTTCCTCTGAAACAAGGAATGCAAGGATGAGATTCGACATCACTGGGACTTTTAATCATGAAAGTCCATTTTTCATGTATAATAAGTTGGCTAAATGCCAAAATATAATGCCAGGGTATGAATCTTTCCTGAAACGCCATTTACCTTCTGTCACATTTTTGCGTATTACAACTACAATGCCATCTTAGTCTCTCGTGTGCAGTTAACACGTGTCAGAAGATCCCGTATGTTCTGCTGTTACTCAGCTTTATATTATAAATGCTTTGGTTCTTTGAAGTTATTTTCAAGATTCTTGCTCTGCGGTAGCTATGCAATGACTTCATTGTATAAAAGCTCAAGTTTGATGTCACTCGTGAAGAAGCAGTCTCTCAAAAGGGCAGTCCAGTGAGATCTGAAAACTACCTCGGGCGTTAGCGACTTCTGTGCGGGCCTAGTGGTGTCCTGGAGATGCGCCTAAGCCGCCACCTGGACAGGCTGCGCGGTTCCTGGAAAGCGAGGGAAAGCACGCCCATCAAAGAAGGCATTTTTATTACACTGGATTATGCAAGACTTTGGCCAGCCTCCTTCGCTTCATCTGTTTAAGGGTTCATTTTCCCTTGTTTGGCACAAATCCCAGTAGAGGCCTTCAGAATTGTGGTTAGCAACATGAATGAATTACAAACTTTGGACGAGCTCCTCAGTTAGTAGAGCTGGATTCCTGCCAAAGAGACAGTGCCTTATATGGGGTCAGGGCAAAGCTGTGATTCGGTGAGCCCTGCATTGTATAGAAAACATACTTGTGATGCCTGTTTGCTTTCTTTTAAAATAAAAACAAAACAAAACAGAAAAAGCAGCAGGCTTCCAAGTCTATCAAAATAGGAAGTAACAAAATCGTGTGCAGGTTTTACTAATGACAGAGTTAAGCAGTGGAAATATGGCTCTGTAGTTAAAATGCTACAACTACAAGTCAGACCTTTTGACCTCCTTAGCCAGCCTGTGATGTATTTGTTAGACATCTGTTGTCTACCTGCCCTTATTTTGTAATGGTTTAACAAGATTAAATAGTTGGTTCTATGTTCACATAGTTAGCATGCCACTGAACTTTGGTGTTGCCTAGGTACTTTTAAAGGAGAAGCAAGAATAGTGAACTCCTCCTCTGTGCCAATATTTTTGAAACAACCCTCCCCTCCTTTAAAATTTTTTTTAAAGGTGGTATTATGTAACTTTACTAAAAACAAGAATGTAATTTGCTTTTCAGGAAGTCTAGAGGTTTTGCTTTTAGACTTTGGTTGAGAATAGCTAGTTACTATTTTAAAATATAACTAAACATAATTCATTTATCTTTGCCATTCTTTCCATTTAGGCAAATACCCTGTCTGGATCTTCTCTTAGTCAGGCACCAGCTCATATGTATGGCAATAGGTTAAATCCAAATGCATCAGTGGCAACTCTTGTAGCCCAGTCTGAAAACAGTCAAACAGGTAAGTTTTCAAGAATGATTCAAATCTAAAATTAAAATTAAACTCCTTTTCCCACCACCCTCCAGCCCCCCCAATGCACCCACACCCACACACAAATTGACTCATTGTGTTGAAAAAATCTAGGGATGCGGTTACTACAAGATTTTTTTAAGAACCACAATTAGAAGTAAAATTTGTATGCTGTGTTGCAAAAATAGTAATTTGCTTTTTTTTTTTTAACTGTCTGAAATGTAAATGTTTTAGCAGCGCCATCAGGCAGGAAGGCAACAACATCTCCTGTGACTTGCGTGATTGATGTGTCCAGTTTTCAGGTCTGAGCAATTAAAATAACATAACACTGGACCTTTCTGTGAATAGCGTAAACCTTTAGTTACATAATTCATGGAATTGTACTACACGGACTTGGTTTTAAAAATCCTGTTGGAGACTTTCTATAGTGTTTAGTCATCCTGTGACTGTTTACCCGTTTACATTTTGTAGCATTTGCTTCTCGTACTGTTTTGATGAGCCACTGGATTTGCGTGGTTTCATTCCCCCTGAGGGTCTGTTGACGTGTTCCAGTAGTCATACCTGCCTCGGGAAAGGAATGGGTCGAGCAGTTTGCAAGAATGGATCGGTCATGTCTTTACTCTTAGAGGGTCAGAGGATACCTGATGGAGAATGAGGGGGAGGACAACCTTGAGAGAGAGAGACCAGATAGTGATTTTTCTTTTCTTTTTTCTTTTAAATAGAGTTATTTTAATAGGGAATGAGCTACAGGGAAAATACAAATTTGTTTCAAGCAGGGTTATTTAAGGAATAGGTGAAGAAAAATTTAAATGTACCTTTTTTTTCTCTTTATAGTAGAATTCTATATTACAGCATGTTTTATCAATTTGAAAATTAGTGTTATCAGTAATTTTACTCATTTTGTTCATAATCCCTGTAATAACATATAATTTTAGCCTGGGTGCAAAAAAAAATAACGTCATTTAAGTCTTGGTGTGTGGGGCTATGTAAAACGTTTTGTATTTTATAACTTGTCTTGGGATGCAAAGTGTTAAAAAATACAAAGCATCAGGATTTGCTGTGATAAGCATACAGATTAGCTGTCCACAGCTGTGATTCATTACTTTAACCGTAGAAATTAAAAGTGGCTGAGGGGAGGGTACTGCAAATGCAAACCACGCTGCTGTGCTGTAAAATTGAAAAGATTGAAAGACCAGAACATAATCCATGGCCTCCTGCACCCACAAAAAACTCTTGTAGGGACAACGCCTTACATGCCACAGTTCATCAATTCTAAACCCGTAGTGCAGATCTCCTACTTTCACAGTAAATGCACAGATACTGGCAAAGTTTAATGTATGTTTAGGAAAAATCAGAGCAAGAGCTTAAAACCTCTAGTGAGAGTTGCTTTATCAGTATGAAATATTTACACTGCAGATCAAGATCTTGGGGACAATAGCCGGAGCCTTGTTGGCAGGGGAAGCTCACCCAGAGGAAGTCTCTCACCACGGTAAGCAAGCATTATTTGCACTGCAAAGTTTAGGAAAACGAAACAGTCTGAGATTTGGAAACTTCTTTATCTTTTATCAGTAGAGTAAGTGCACATTTGTGAAGTATAGAAGCATTGTATAGTTAAGAAGAATGTCTAGACAGTTAAGAAAAAAGGATCCTAAATTACTTTGAATATTCATTTATATACATGATTAGTTTTGTAAACTAAAATAATTCTTTTTGAAATTTCCCAATTTATCTTTATCACTTGTACACATAGCCATTGGCACTATATTATTTTCAATAAAATATTGCTTAATGCTACAGAAACCAACTAAAACCCTTTAGTCTCTGGTTCCTAATTTAGTAATTGCATCTGTGTAGTAGAACTCTAAACTTCTACTGTTTTAAATTGTTTGACTCATCTGGTATAGCAAATATATGACATTATTTTGTGAAACGATTATAGATATTATGTGAATGGATTTCAGGTAGCATTCAATAATGTGCCCCTTGTGAGTTATGGAAGTGTATTCCTTTCAGCAGGAGTACCCTTTTAGTCAGAGCTATACTAAATAAAAAATTCACGGCTGTAGGACAAGGTAGACCTGTCCCCATGGGTTTCTGAGACTGTAACTCTTCATGGGAGCAGACAGCTCCATCTCTCACTCGCAGAGTGGCTGGTGATTTCGAACTTTGTACCTTGAAAGTTAGCAGCCCATTGGGTAACCACTATGCCACTAGATCTAGAATTGTGCAAAGGGTTAAATTTTTCTGAGCACAACCTAGAGTGGTAGTGGTCAGAAACGACTGTGTCAGATCATAGAAGAGAATGAACCCTTACGTGATGGCTACTTTAAAATGAACTTTATTCCACTTTTGAACTTTCACAGATTCTTCTAGTTTACTTTCTCCCTGTGCCCTGATTTTATGAGCTCTGCCTGAAGCATGACGTTAGAGGGGTTCATTAGATATTAGACTGCTAATGGAAAGGTTGGCAGTTCAAGCCCATCACCTGCTTCTGGGAGAGACTGATAGCTTAGGACGCCCTAGGCAACAGTTATGCTCTGCCTTGTAGGGCAGGTGCCATGGCGCAGTAGGCTTGGTTTGGTTTGTGTGGCTTATCCTTCTCAGGAGTATGCATTCGGGAACACCTTGCTTATTAGAAAGGTTTGTCTCATGACCTCTTAGTTTGTCTCTTTTGGAACATCTGTCTGAGAGTGCCTTTTTCCTGCATAACCCCTGACTAAACTAAAAGTAGTATTGTTGTTTTAAATTGACCTCTGCAGGAAATTAAATAACTATTTTTTTTGATACATGGTATCTGAAGCACACAGTGATATGATGTTGTAATTACTTCAAAATAATAAAAAAATGGATTTTGCTTATATGTTTAGTGAAAGCAGCATTTCTTTGCCATCCTTTTGAACTTGAAACATAGGCAGAAGGCTCACTCAGAAATATTTGAAGATCCTTTTACCCTTGTGTGGTCATTTGAATTAGTTAAGGGGAGTCAACACAATGTGGTTGTTGTGTGCCATCAAGTTGGTTCTGATTGCTAGCACCCTCCCTGTCAGGTAGAGTAGAACTGAATGAACCCCACAGGGTTTCCAGGACTAAATGTTTTATGGAAGCAGACTGCATTCTTTCTTCCTCAAAGCCACTGATGAGGTCTAACTACTGAGTCTTTTGGTTAGCAGCTGACGGCTGAGCCGATTGTACTACCAGGACTCCTTTTTGACCCAATAAATGGCATTAAATTATTTTCGGCATATATTTCCAACTTCATATTACCATTTAAAATCAGCCTTGCATGTAATAGTGTGTCAGTGATTCTTCCAGAATGTGCTGTTTGACAGAAATGGCCAATCAGCCCTATGTGATGCATAATGTTTACATAAGGAATTAAAAGCCATTTGTTTAATTTCTTATTTAAATAAATTTTTGTAAAGAAATCTGGAGGCAGTGGGAAGAACCATGAGTGGACAATTAGAAAAGCTGAGTAATAGTCCCAGTTCTGTCATATTCCTGCAGTGTGCCTTTGGACGGGTCACTGAAGCTCCAACTTTGCTTCCTCATGTGGAAATTGAGCCAATAAGCCATGCCTTGACTTAATCTAGAAACCCAAGTGGCATAGTGAAAACTACCAGCTGTTTTTCTTGTGAGAAAGATGAGGTTTTTTATTCTTTTTTTCCCCTCAATCGTTTTATTAGGGGCTCATACAACTCTTATCACAATCCATACATACATCAATTGTGTAAAGCACATTTGTACATTCATTGCCCTCATCATTCTCAAAACATTACCTCTCCACTTAAGCCCCTGGCATCAGGTCCTCATTTTTCCCCTCCCTCCCCGCTCCCTCCTCCTAGGCTTTTTGTTCTTGTGAAGAGTTACAGTCTTGGAAACCCACGGAGGCAATTTTACCCTGTCCTATAGAGTCTCTGTGAGTTAGAATTGAGTCAGTGACAATGAGTCAATGTTGAACGACTTCTTAGTAAGTAATTGTGAAGATACATGCGAAATAATAATGGTACAGCACTCTGGGAAACAGTAAAGCCCCTTTACTAAAGTAATTTTGGAGATAGAAATCAGAAAGAGGAGCCCTGGTGGCATGGTGGTTATGTGTTGAGCTGCTAACTGCAAGGTCAGCAGTTTGATACCACCAGCTGCACTGCAGGCAGGGACAATGAGGCTCTCTGCCCCCTTTGAGAGTTACAGCCTTGGAAACCCACTGGGGCAGCTCTCCTCTGCCCTATAAGGGCCCGCGATCAACTCGACTGCATTGAGCTTGGTTTGGAGATTGAGAGACCAGTTAAAACAGTTGAGAGAACATTACACGTTCACCTTCATATAAGTAGTATTTGTTTTCTAAGGGTTGATTAAATTATTATTTGAAAGATATTTTACAAATGTTTATATCAAAAGTTTAAATACTTATAAAGTTTAAATACCTTACAAACATTTATATTAAAAGTTTAAATAAATACTTTTTTTAAAAAAATAAATACTTTTGTACTAATTATATTTTTAATGAGAAAATAACTACTTTTGGATTATAATAGATGGTTGCTTTCAAATTGTTAGAATTTTGTTTTTACTTAAATTTGAGGCTTTCTTGATTGTAAATGAAAATGCCCATCACAGGCCTATAATTACTCATTGTTATTCTGATGTTTGATATTAAGGCAAAATGTTTGAACTCTTCAGTGACTAAATAAAATAGTCTTTTGACCTTGACTTTCTCTACGTGTTTGTTTATAACCTATTCCTGACATTATGCTTTGTTTATGATTTTTCATTGTATCTAGGATGACCAACTATTTCCTTAATTTTACACCTTGAGGAGGAAGAATAAAATTAATAAACTTTAGGGTAAAATATGGTGTTTAAGTTTGGAATCTGATGCTTCTAGCAGAGGCTAGAAAACTTGAACACGAAAAAGGATTCAATATAAGATAAGAAACTTTAATATGTCCTCCTTAAAAGAATTCCCCCCCCCCCTTTTAACTTATGAATTAATTTTTTTTAAAACAGATCTCCTGTAAGCAGCTTACAGATTCGCTATGATCAACCAAGCAACAGCAGTTTGGAAAATCTGCCTCCAGTAGCTGCAAGTATAGAACAGCTTTTGGAGAGGCAGTGGAGTGAAGGACAGCAGTTTTTACTCGAACAGGGTACTCCTAGCGACAGTAAGTATTCTTTTCTTTAAATGAAGATGTGTAGTTGGATGGATGGACAGAGACAAGTGGACGCAGAAGATGTTCTGTGTTCATCTAGAATAGTAAGGAAATGATGATAAATGTTTTATTATAATAGCGTGCAAAGTGTAATGTAGTTAGTACTTTAGTGTGGAACAGATTTTACAATCTTACCTTGAAATTGTATTGTTTTTACCTTTTATCAAAAGTTTGAACTTGGGCAAGTTTCTTAATCTTTATGTACTAAAAAGCACCACACCCACGGCCATGAAATCAATTCTGACTCATAGTGCAACTCTGTGTGCTAATAATGCTCTACTTGTGTCTTGGGGTTATTTTAAGGAGTAAATGACATGAAAATACCAACATTTCCTTGAACGGAGAAGGTGTTTATATATTAACTGGTTATCATAATTGCTTATAATTATACCAGTAATTTATGTTTCTCCATTATGTTTTGTTTACATCAGTTTTAAAAGTTTTATGAACACATGAGATAAGTTGTTTGAAGGAAACTTGTTCATGAGGCAAATGGGTCAAGGGTGGAGGGAGAGAGAGAGAGAGTGCGTGCGTGCGTGTGAAAGAGAGAGAGAGAGAGAGAGAGCTCCTGAGAATATCATCAGATTGCCCCTTGATTTTCCATTTTGGAGAAGGTAGAATAATTACTAGATTGTAAACGCACATAATCATATATATATATGGTCATATTGAATTAAGTTATAATTTATATGCTTACTCAATATTTATTCATTGTAGTTATAAAAATGCCCAAAACAGGATTACTGTGGTTGGTGGTTAGCTGAAAAAGTAAAGTGGCCTTGTATTATTAGTTTTGGGTAAAAAATAGATAGCTTTCATCATTTTGGGATATCAACTTTTGCTGCTTTATATTATTATTATTGCTTTTTGTTAATGAGCCAAGTGCCCTGAGTTGGGTTTTCATGAGTGGTGACCTGACAGAAAGCTGATTGTGAGGAAATTCATGCCGGGATAACCCTTTAAACCTGGTAGCTGGAGGACAGGTTAGCTTAGTCTTACTGCGTCTCATTTGGGCACACTAAGGATTTCTTTGTGGGATCTTGAAGAAGAGGCGTAAAAGTTAAATCCTTGGGAAATGACCATGTAGGTTTATACCAGGATAGTTGTCTTTTCAAGGCCCAAAGATCATGTTAAACAAATACAACTTTTTAACGCGTGCATTTTGGAAAGTGTCCGTCACCGTGGCATAACAGCAACAAACTATGGTGTCAGTTGGGAGGTCCAAGTTGTGGAAGGAATTGAGACAGTATTTGAGGTGATGGAGCAGGACAGAAATGGAGCCTATACTACACAGATGATAAGCCTTTATCTGGAAATAGAGAGCCATGGCTGCAGTGCACACACAGTGCCCCCTGCTGGGGGATCTGGGGATCAACATGTCTAGCTGCTGGAATTGGAGGCTTCTTACCAGAAGTCTGGTGGTATTAGATTAAAACAAGCAAGGAATCGAAACTTTGCTTTTTATTGTGGTCTAAGGAGTTTTCATTGGTGAGACCCTTGCCTGCTTAAATAATATCTTAAGTAAAAGTCCTGACAACCACTTTGATTTTTTAATTAAGACTTTAATTTAGATGAACATGAAAACATTCTCTTTGAGAATGGAAATTAGCTGAACCTGGTGGGTGACTTTTTGGTTTGGTTTGGTTTTGTGATATGTGGCATAAAAGTTCCAGAAGGAACACTTAGAAACTCTCTTTTTAGGCTTCTATACTTATATATTTATATATACACACACTGTAGCATATTTATATATACATATACTTTAGAATGAAGCATAATCACTTAGAATTTTTTTCTTTAGCCTTTTGACATTTTTGTTTTATTTGTAAAGCTATTGACACCTGTCATTAAAATACTTAGTTGTGTGTGTTGTTTTTATTAAAAATGTTTGCTAGTTTTAGGAATGCTGAAGTCATTACATCAACTTCAAGTTGAAAACCGAAGATTAGAGGAACAAATAAAAAACCTGACTGCCAAAAAAGAACGCCTTCAGTTACTGAATGCACAACTTTCAGTGCCTTTCCCAGCAATCACCATGCACCCGAGTCCATCTCACCCAGTGCGTGCATTTCCAACGCAGACTGGTAAGGGTGAAAATCCGACGTATCTAAGGAAAACACAGCGAACCATCTGGGAAAAGTAACTATATGAATATGTAGAAAGGCTTCATTTGTAGCTGTTACAGGTTAATTTGAAAGTTGCAAAAAATCTTCTGTGGCATATAATTTAATGGTAACATATATTAAAATATTTTGAAATTCCTGTTTATATAATGGCACTGTATTCAGTAAAGATTTTCTATGTAAACTGGTCTTGGGAAATGTATGTCTTAATGTTTAAGTGTTTTTAATAGACTTCAGCATAAACTTTAAAAAAATTGTTTTATTAGGGGTTCATACAACTCTTATCACAATCCATACATACATCAATTGTGTAAAGCACATTTGTACATTCATTGCCCTCATCATTCTCAAAACATTTGCTTTCCACTTAAGGCCCTGGCATCAGCTCCACACTTTTTCCCCTCCCTCCTCTCTCCCTCTTCCCTCATGAACCCTTGATAACTTATAAATTATTATTTTGTCATTTCTTGCCCTGTCCAACATCTTCCTTCACCCACTTTTCTGTTGTCCGTCCCCCAGGGAGGAGGTCATATGTAGATCCTTGTAATCGGTTTCCCATTTCCAACCCACCCTCCCTCAGCATAAACTTTTGAATAAACCTTTAATCTCACGTCTAATGTAATTTAACAAGGTAAACAGGGTTCTTTTTATCTTTGTTCATTCTAGCTCCTGCTACTGATTCCTTGAACAGCAGTAAGAGCCCTCATCTCGGAAACAGCTTTTTACCTGATAATTCTATTCCTGTGTTAAATCAGGTAAATTTGCTGCTATTTTCACTTGTGTAGTTTACCTGTGAAGAATAGTGTATTATGTAAAATGGTTCAAAACTATTAAGCAGTTTTGCTGTCTTTACAAGTTAAATTTCTATTTTCTCTTACATTAGGACTTGACTTCTAGTGGACAAAGCACCAGCAGTTCATCAGCTCTTTCTACCCCACCTCCTGCTGGGCAGAGTCCCGCTCAGCCAAGCTCAGGAGTTAGTGGAGTTCAACAGGTCACTGGTGTGACAGTGGGGGCACTAGCTGGTGGAATGCAGACTGGAACATCCACCATTGCTGCCGTGCCTGGAGTGGGTGGAATAATTGGAGCTTTGCCAGGTAACCAACTGGCAATCAATGGCATTGTAGGAGCTTTAAATGGGGTTATTCAGACTCCTGTCACAATAGCCCAGAACCCTGCCCCCCTCACCCACACCACTGTACCACCTAATGCAACACATCCAATGCCAGCTACACTGACAAACAGGTAAGAAACACACTTAAGTATATTTCGGGTACTTTAATGTGACGTAGTACCAGTGCTGTTCACGTTTTATTAAACCTGCTTTTCCTTTTTTCTCACTGAGAATTTTGATGTGTTCCTTGTAGATGTACTTTAGGGGTGGAGGGTGGGGAGAGAAACGTAAACATATTATGCCCAGAGTAATTTATTTTTAAAGCTTAAAAAATTCCAACTGAAATAAAATTATATCAGTTTCAGTAAAATAAAGTATTAACTATATTCTGTGCTGAAAATTTCAGTCTTGGTCTGTGACTTGTATTTTAAAATGTTACTTTTTCTTATTCCCTTGTATATTGCGCTCATGTATCATTAACTCTGAAGAAAGGTAATACCGTACTGGTACTCACAGCTGACCCTCGGTATCCGTGGAGGATTGGCTCTGGTATCCCTGTGAATACCAGACTCTGTGGATGCTCAAGTGCCTTATCTCAATGGTGTAGTATTTGCATATAACTTAGGGACATCCTATCAAATAGTTTTAAACATTTCTAGGTTACTTATAATACCTAATACAGTGTAAATTCTGTATAAATAGAACTTTGTGCTCCTTCCTAGCTTTTCAGGGGTTACTTTGACACCACTTGTGTTGTTTTTCCTCAAATACTTTTCCATCTGTGGTTGGTTGAATGCAGAACCATGGACATGGAGGGCCGACTGTATTGGTTTCTTCAAATTCAGCTATGTACTTTGATCATAACTTTATATAACCCAAGATACTGATGTAGGATAAAGGTCAAATATTTACCTCTAATTTTTAGGGAGCGAGACTTAATATTTCATTGTATTGAAATTTCATTTGAATGTTTGTTTAAAATAAGAGGGATTAACATCTTGCAGTTATTAAACATACTATTGGAGAATAAATAATTTAAAATAGGTTAGCAGTGGATACCTGCAGAGTATGTCTTGTGGCTATCGTTTTATTGGTGCTTGATTTTACTGAAAACTGGGGTCATTAAAAAAATTTAGGTGAAAGCAATTAGTATATTTGGACTGTTTTAAATGTGTTACTAGTGTGAGTTAGATTATCTTTGAATTATTAAACACAAATTATGCATAGTTTTAAAACGTGTAATATTTTTATCCCATAAAGTTTAGTGTCTATTTGGTCTTTAATAAAAAGAAAATGAAAAACTCCTTGACAATGAGAAGTCTTATTTAGCTGACTGACTGGAGGGGTGGGGTTGGGTTGCGGAGATAAGCAAAGTGCTGTGTTTAAAAGCTTGGCATGTCAATTTATTACACCTCAAACTGAAATGTTTTCTTATTTATATTTTAAAAATACATTAAAGGTATACATTAAAAAGTAAGAATTGTAATCATTTTTCAGTGCCTCTGGACTAGGATTACTTTCTGACCAGCAACGACAAATAATTCTTCATCAGCAGCAGTTTCAGCAGCTGTTAAATTCTCAACAGCTCACACCAGTAAGTTCTTTCTTTGGATAATAGTTGATGCTTATTAGGAGCAGGTGATCTAAGTTACAGTAGATGATAATGTGTGTATAGATTACACATTTGTGCCAGTACATTATTGAATGCATAATTCAAAAATCCTCTGTTTTGTTTTCCCCCCATGCTGTTTGAAACATTTACTGCAGTGCTATTTATGGTAGGCTCTGGTGATGCAGTGGTAAACAAGACATAAGGATGTATTTTCACGTTGTTTCATTTTGGTGGGAAAGACAGGCAATATAGTGACATGTACTGCGTTAGTCTGGATACTTTTAGAGAAACAAATCCACAGAAACTCTTATGTATAAGAGAGTTTTATATAAAGGTTAAGTGCACATCAAGAAAACACCCCAACCCAGTGCTGCCCAAGCCCACAAGTCCAACATTAGCCCAGATGTCCAACACCAATACACAAAGTCCTCCATCTCACAAAACACACACTATGATGCCGACTGTAGGAGAAAGCTGAGTCAGTGAACGTGTAAGCATCTCAGCGCTGGCAGGGGTCTCCACACACACAGCTGCTCCAGCATCCAGGGCTGCATCGGGGTAGGTCCATGATTCTTTTCCTCGGGGATGTCTTGCAGGAAGTGAGTCTTGCAAGCTGAAGCAGGGAACTGGCTAAGGCAGCTGCACCCTGGTCTGACCATCAGAAAGCAAGAGACCCGAGAACTAGAAGGGCAAGGTTCACCGAGCCATTTATCTCTCTAACCTTCAATTAACCCCACATGTGTTTATCGGCCAGGTTGGCACAATAAATTGCTGTTTGTCTGTGGCAAGAAAGCTTGATTCTATTTTATGGTGGAAAGTTGTCAGTGATTTACAAAATTTTATTATGGATATTTTCAAGCATACCAAAACTAGTGAGCATAATTTTATATGTACATATACACACACACATATACATACATACATACACACACACACACATATATATGCTTTCTCAGTTTGCTTCTTAATAATAATTCATGTTTTGTTGATCCTGCCTCATATTGCACCGCCTTTTTTCACAGAATTATTCTGAAGAATTAATTGTAGGGTTTTGAACAGAAGAATGACATGGCAAAGATTTATGTATCTTAACAGATTAGTTTAGCTACTAAAGTAAACTTTATGTTGAGTGGAAAAGATGAGGTCAGAAGTGAAAAAAAGAGGCCCATGAACTAGCCCAGATAGGGAATAGTGGTGTTTGAAAAATGCATGATATAAAACTCAAACAAACAGAAAAGCACAAACGCATTGCCAAGGAAGGGTCATAGTGACTATACAGGATGCAGACAACCCTGTGGGTTTCCGAGGTTGTAAATCTTTACAGGAGCAGAAAGCCCCATCTTTCTCCTACAGAAGCAGCTGGTAGGTTTGAATTGTTTGAATTGTTGACCTTTCAGTTAGTAGCCCAACACGTAACCCACCAAAGCTCCTTTCAAGTCGTCTGTGTTTCGAATTGAAGTCAATTTTGAAGATAGAACCGACAAGACCTATTTATTAGACTTGTGAAAACAGACAAGTCCTAAACAATTTATTACTTTTTACTGACCTTTAGAATAGAAAACTGGTTTTGAAGAGAAAAGAAAAAAATCCATTATAGATTTGTTTAGTTTGAGGTGTCTTGTTGTAGACACCATTGATAAAACGCATATGCTGGCAAAAAAGCCACATGGCAGCTGAAAACCGTATACCCTAGCTTGTCGTGCATTCTTTCCAAAAATCGGGATTTTATTTTAAATGTCGCCGGACGCGGGACAAATTGTTAAAAATTGGACTGTCCCGCCAAAAGCGGGAGATCTGGTCACCTTACTCAAGTGAAATGTTGACTAGACAGTTGTATAATGTAAGCCAGAGATCAAGAGATGAAATGTAGTTGGAGAAAACAAAATTGGAGTCATTGTTGCATGTATCATGTTTAGACCTATGCGATTACTACAAGGATGAAGATTGAGTTCTGAGACTGATCCCTGGACACTGGAACAGCAGACATTGGCCAGTTGGTTCAGAGGAGGGCTGCGAGAGTGGTGCCTTGGGAACCAAGAGTAGACAATGTGTCAGAGAAGGAGGGGACAGCTGCTTTTGGTGGATAAGCAAGGATTTACCATTGCATTTGGTTGTCAGGAGGGTTTTGACAAAGGTAGTTTTGATGTCATAGAAGTAAAAGTCTGATCATGTGGTTTTAAAAAGGGAAGGGGTTGCCAGTTTCCCCGCAAGTGATGGGCTTAATGTGATGAATGGTTAGTGGATTTCACAACTGCTCCCCTTCCGTTGTGGAGTCAGTGACATCCGATGTTGGTGTTTGAGTTGATTTCAATTCCTAGTGACCATTTATACAACTGAGTGAAACACTGTCCATTTCTACACCATGCTCAGCAGTTGTTAGGTGAACTCTGGTTGCAACCACAGTGTCTATCCATCTAGTTAAGACTTCCTCTTTTTCTCTGAGCCTCCACTTTCCCACACAGTAATGTCTTGTTCCAGGGATCGGTCCCTTTTGGAAACATGACCAAAATATATAAGGGAAGATTGGCCATCCTGGCTTCTCAGGAGTGTCTTAGCACATAGACGACTCGTGAGTGTGCTCTCCGGGTAGTCCGCAGAACTCTCCGTCTCTTTCACCAGCACCAGGGTTCAGAGGCATCGGGTTTTCTTTGGTCTTTCTTCTTCGTTGTCCAGTTTTCATACCCTTATGAGGAGATTGAAAATATCGTGGCTTGTATTTGATAGCAAAGAGTGACATTTTTTAAAAAGGTCTTTTGCAGAAGCTTTGGCCAGAACAATACAATATGTCCTTTGATTTCTTGATGGCTGCTTCCATGGGCATTGTTAGTGAATCCAAGTAAACGGAAATCCACGACATAATTTATACTTACAATATAGATTAACATTATAAAGTGATAAGTAAGGTTTTTGTGCATACTAAGAAGGGGATGGACCTGGATTTAGTGGACCCTCACCTGAAACCACAAACCTCAGTTCACTGCATATCCGTGATTCCAAAGGATATGAGTTGTTCAGCAGCAGAAAGGAAAGTAGGAAAATGCTATGTGGGTGAAAATTCTGTTTTAATACAAATTCTTAAGGAATTTGTAAAAAGTTGATCTTCCGTGTGCTTGAAATTTTCAGGGATTTTGGAGCAGCAGCTTCCTAACTCCAATTTAACATGCATTTGGAAAATGGATTTAAGACCTGTGATACTTAAATTTTATAGGGTTGAAACAGAAAATGATATGGCTGACCCTTGAACAACACATGTTGTAACTACTTTAGGTCTACATATATGTGGAGTTTTTTTCAAGAAGCATATTTGGGGGAAAATAACAAATAAAATATTTCTGTAACATTAGACCATGTGGGCCTGATTCCTCTTCCAAGATGTCCCTTGTCTCTTCTCCCTCTGCCACGCCTGAGACGCTTGGCGAATGGGACAGAGCATTGACTTGGACGGATAGGTGTGGCTCTGGGACCTTCTCTAGCCCTACATTTTTTTTAAATCGTTTTATTAGGGACTCATACAGTTCTTATCACAATCCTTCTTTTATCAATTGTGTAAAGCACATTTGCACATTCATTGCTCTCATCATTCTCAAAACATTTCCTCTCCACTTAAGCCCCCAGCATTAGGTCCTCATTTTTCCCCTCCCTCCCCGCTCCCCCATGAGCCCTTGATAATTTGTAAATTGTTATTTTGTCATATCTTGCCCTGTCAAATGTCTCCCTTCACCCACTTTTCTGTTGTCTGTCCCCCAGGGAGGAGGTTCCCTCTTTCCAACCCACTCTCTCCCTCTACCCTTCCAGTATCGCCACTCACACCACTGGTCCTGAAGGGATCATCCTCCGTGGATTCCCTGTGTTTCCAGTTCCTATCTGTACCAGTGTACATCCTCTGGTTTAGCCAGACTTGCAAGGTAGATAGTGGGGGCGGGGAGGAAGCATTTAGGGACTAGAGGAAAGTTGTATTTTTCATTGTTGCTACATTGCACCTTGACTGGCTCATCTCCTCCCCGAGGCCCCTCTACAAGGGGATCTCCAGTGGCCTACTAATGGGCTTTGGATCTCCACTCTGCACTCCCCCCATCATTCACTATGGTAAGTTTTTTTGTTCTGATGATGCCTTATACCTGATCCCTTTGACACCTCGTGGTCTAGCCCTACGTTTAAAGTGAGACCAGACCCACATAGTTCTGTTTCTCCAGCCCCATTTCCCTAGCACACCACCACACTGGCTTTGGTTTCAGCCTTGATTTAAAATTTTTTCAATAACATTCTTGCCTACTTTCTTGCTTTAGTCAAAAACTGAAAATAGTTGTTTTTATTTTGGATCATCATTTTCACTATCATTGTTCTCTTACAGTGTTGTAAAGGTAGCTTGTTAGGAACATTTAAATTCTGTGTGTTTGTGTGTAAACACGATTCTATTCTTATTTTTGTATGAGGTGAATTATTACCCAAATCCATTGCTTTGGAATACATACATTTTCTTGGTTTTCCTGTTAATTACTGGTCTATTTTGATTTCGACATTTTCATCTACTTTTGATTCTTCCTCTTCTCCTTCATTTCCTGAATTTAGAATACTCTAATGCTCAGTGAACTCTCCAGTCTCACGGCTTTAACCCTGTAACGCCTGAATTTTTAATTTCAGGAAAAAAATTTTTTTTGGTTTTCATTCTTTACTTTCATAGTTATCAATATATATAAGAACCAAAATTTTAAAAATATAAAATTTGCAATGTTTTTAAAATGTATACAAATCGTCACATTCGTCCATGGATTTATAATGCAAGAATAAAAAATGCACCTTCATTTATATATTATTTTTCTTCTTCTTTTATTATTTAATAAAAAAACAAACTGAAAACTTATTTATAAAATATAATACAAAATGTATTTCTTTATAATTTTAGTTAATGTGAAATTGAACGAAACAAGTTTTTTCTTTTGTGATACAAAGATGAACTTTGCATTTGCTGCCGAAAAATATCGGTGCCCTCTTGCAGTGTACATTTTTGCGTCTTCCTGTGTTTGCGACATCAGGGTGATGGTGAGGACCATCCAGATGTTGTCTCTCCCAGGAATGCTTGGGTGGCAAGACCTCGTCTCTTTCTGTAGCAAACTCAGCATCGGTAGCGCACGCCAGTAGAAGGGCGGCCTCTTTCTGTCGGTCTCTTACTTTTTCCTTCCAGAAGAAGAGCGATGCTCATTTTGAACTCATGCAGACTATGGGGATTATCATGGAAGTGAATCTTGGACTTTTTATCTTCCCATCTATCTCTACTTATCACTTCAACTACAGTAGGGTAGTTTAGTTTGCTCTTCCAATATAAACGTGAATTTGATAGCTTCACCATTGACATAGCAAGCAGTGTACCCCAAAAATCGCTCAAGTTCCTGGCTACTCGGTGCAAGAGGTTTATTGGGATGTTGCTGGATTGCACAGAGTTGATTGGTCAACAGTATGAGTAATGATATCCTTCGAGAAAAAATGTCTACAATATTCAACGGGACATTTTACTAGCCCAGAAGAATCTATTGTCCTAACCATTCAGGCATAGGTCCATCTGTACCGTCTCCAGAAATGTGCCGCCAAAGGGGAATTCTTCGATTTTTTGATGTAGATGTCTTTGAACTTGTAGTTATTGGAATTGATTCTTTAACTTCAACAACTGAAGTTTCTAACTCATCTTCATTAGTATTATCATTACTAACTACGAGGTCTTCTAATTCATCCAAATCATAATAATTGGGTGTATATTCACTTCCTATCATGGGAAAAAATAAATATTGTTATCAAAATAGTTTGAATAGCAATGTAATTAAATTTTTATATTGTAAAATCAAAAATTTTAAATATAATACAGTTTATTTACCAGTTTCTTGCATATTAGCATCTGGTTCCTTGTCTGAGTCTGTACCGCTTCCATGTAGGTCATAAATTTGCCATTTTCCATAAAACAAATCACAATCCATGCTGTGATAATTTATGTCACCGTCGTTTCAAAAGATGAACATAACGAAGTCATTACGTTTTGATAAAGCAGAAATATATTATAAATATAATTTTTATGAGTATTACACCTTTGACATAAAAGCTAGTTTTATGAATACATACAGAAAATATCAACACTAAAACTTTACTAGATTGGAAATTATCGTAAAATGCACTGAATGCCAACGATCACTCAACCTCAAACGCACAATCAGTCAAAACGTGCTGCTGTTTAAGCATTTCGCCACTAAAATGCGTGACTAGCGGTATGCTTTTGTACTAGTAAAGTGTGACGATTTCGTAGACATCTTTGTCGGCTCCAAAAGCTTTGTATTTTCGGTGCCAGATACGTTTTAATTAAATGTTACAGAAACGTTGCGCTCGGCATTATAGGGCTGAATACCACCTGTGGCGATGCTGACATCCAGATTTACATCTTCAGGGCAGCCTTCTCTCTTGAACTTAAAATTCCAATTTCTAACCACCTACTTGATAATGAATATCTTAAGAGGTATATCAAACATAACCTCAATCATCTATCATTCATAACCATTCACCGCCAGTGGCTTGATTCCCACTCAGAGAGACCAGAGGCTGTAAATCTTTAGGGGAGCAGGTAGCCTCAACTTTCTCCCAAGGAACACCTAGTGAATTTCAAGCACTGACTTTGTGGTTAGCAACCCAGTGCTTACTTGACGGCGCCACTTGGGCCCCAATTTGAATTGAGGTAGGCTCTCACTACAACCTGCTCCACTCACTTTTCCTCATCTCAGTTGGTAGCAACTCCCTCCTTCCAACTGCTCAAGTCAGCCTTTACTTTTTCCTCCAAAATTTCCACTCGTTGCTGATTTCAGCCATGGTAGCACAGTGCCAAGTGCTTGGCTGCTCACAGAAACGTTAGTGGTTCAGACTCCCCCAGCAGCTTCCCTGAAAAAAGGCCTGGTGATCTGAACCTGTAAAGATTGTACTCTGGAAGGCTTAGGGGGCAGTTCTACTCTGTCACGTGGGGTGCTAGAAATTGAAATCAACTGTATAACACAATAGCACCAACAGAGCCAAGGCAGCCAAGGCCTTCCACAGTGAGTTCTACATTCTTTCACTTCTCGCGATTCCTTTGTTCATACTGAATCCTATTCCATGGACCTTTTTGCACCGACTCCTTTACCTGTAGCATTTGTCACCTTCTAACATTTTAATTTGTCTCCTCCCTTCCATGAAATGAAGCACGCACACTCACACACACACACACACACATTCACACACACACACACACACACACACACACACACACACACACGATTCAAGCACCCAAACTCCAGTGTCTGGAAAATAATAAATCTCCAAGAAAAAGTTTTCGGTGAAAGAAATGCTTGTTTTAAAGAGTAGTCTTGTGATAGCGGTGTCAGGAGAGCACGCTGTTTCAATCTGAATAGTAGTAAGGGAAGGCTCTGACTTAGGCACATGCTAAGATCAAGTCCAGATAGAGTATGACTTAAAATCTAAGCTGCTGTTCCCTTTATCATGGAGCCCTCATTAGAACGGAGGTCTTCTTCATTTGGTTGGAACCCTGTGAGCACAAAGGTCACGTGCATAGCTGTGAGCCACACAGTCTGCGGTGTGAACTCGCCAGCCTACATGGGAGGATAGGGCAGCCTTGGAAGCCCTGTGGGGCGATGCTAGTGGTTTTACAGGGTTGCTACGAGTTGGAACCGACATACAGAAATACGTTATGTTTGGTATGCGTAGATAGTAATATTACTGATGATATTGGCCTTCTATCATAGATGGTGGCTCTCTAGTTCAGCAGTGGTTCCCTAGATTCATGTTTTTTGCCTCAGCATGTATGTGACAACCATTTAAATCTCTAGTTTTGAAAGAGGGAAAGGCGGGCCTCAGTTTGTTGTTGGGAACTCATTTCCCCTCCTGTGGTGTTTTTCCTTGCTAAGGAGCAACATCAGGCCCTTCTGTATCAACTGATGCAACACCACCACCACCAGCAGCACCACCAACCTGAACTGCAGCAAATACAGATCCCTGGACCGACCCAGATACCAATAAACAACCTGCTTGCAGGTACTCAGGCACCACCACTTCACACGGCTTCCACTAACCCGTTTCTCACAATCCATGGTGATAATGCAAGTCAGAAAGTAACAGTAAGTATATTTTCTGTTTTGTATCTAATGAAAAGAATAGGTTTTAATGATTGATCAGTGTTTAATCTCTCAAGATGTTTAAAAAGAATAGGCAAAGTGTTTCTCCAAAAATATACTCTTAAAACTTGTTTAAAATGCTTTATGTTATAAATACAAAGGACTGGAGATAGTTAATATATCTCTTAAATACAGTTTTGAATTTGCACATAATGTTTGCACATAATTCAGCAGTTTTCAAAATATGGGGAAGTTCAATCAGAAGAAAATAGTTGTTGCATTTTGAAAGCTTTGTGTACTTAGAGAGCGAGCCCATGTAATTTAGTATGTTATATAAATTAACATACATTTTAAGCCTGTCTCTCCCCTTCTAGTAGGTCTACTGTATTGAGGTATAGAGACTTGCCCTCAGTTTCAGTTCAGGGCAGAGTTCTGTTAGAGGAAGGCTATCGAGATCTAGAATGAACTGGATCTCAGGAAAAGAACAAGGGAAAGAATGTGGTGGGAGAAGTGGCAAACACAAGAGTGTTTGCTAGTAATCATTACTTTCTTCTTAGGCTTCGTTTAGTGTCCAGAAACCTTAGTTTGTATTTAGTAAGAAGAATCAATTCACGATATGGGATTACTGTTTATCATGAACTCATTAATGCATTTTGTTTTGCCTTGTTGTGAATCAATACTGTCTTTATCACAAGTCTTTCAGTGTTTGCTGCCATGAGAAATTTGAAAGCTTCAGTATTACTGTGGAAAATCCTTTTTTTGTATGGCTTTCCCCTATGTTCTTAAGTTTTCCTTGTGTTAAAAATGTGAATTAATTACAAATTAACTTTTACTGGGTTTTGTTAGGTTCTTTTGAGTTGGTGTTGTTTGGATCCATTATGGGTCTTCCTCGAGTTCGCTGCCCCTCGACTTTACCAGTAAAGAAGCCCTGGTAATATAGTGGTTAAGAGTTAGGCTACTAATCACAAGGTCAGCAGTTTGAAACCACCAGCTGCTCTATGAGAGATAAATAGGACTTTCTACTCCTATAAAGACATATTACCTTGGAAATCCACAAGGGCAGTTCTACCCTGTCCTGTAGGGTCGATGAGAGTCAGCTGACTCGAAGGCAGTGAGTTCTACTTAACTAGCATGATGTCCTCCTTCAGGGACTGGTCTTTCCTGATAATATGTACAAAGTATATGAGATATGAAGCCTTTGTCACCTTTGCTTCTAAGGAACATTCCGGCTGCACTTCGTCCAAGACGGATTTGTTTGTTCTTTTGACTGTCTGTGGTGGTACTTTGTTAGTCGATGCTGTAATTCACATGCATCAGTTCATCTTCAGTCTTGCTTCCTCATTGTCCACGTGCACATGAGGCACTAGAAGATACTGTGGCTTGGGTCATGTCCTCAAAGTAACATCCTTGTATTTCAGCACTGTGTTAGTCTGGGTAGACTAGAGAAACAAATACAGGGAGACTTGTGTGTGTATAAGAAAGAGCTTTAGATAAAAGAGCAATTGTGTATTGAGAAAAGATTCAGGCCAGTCCAGATCAAGCTCTCAAGTCTGATATTAGCCCAGATGTCCAACACCAATCTATAAATTCCTTTTCAGACTCACGCAAAACATGCAATGACACTGAATGCAGGAACATCACAGGCCAGTAGGTGGAACGTCTTGTGGATCCAGTGGCAGTGGAAGCATCTCAGCTCTGGCAGGGGTCTCCATGTGGCTCCTTCAGCTCCAGGGCTCTAGCATAGGTCCATGTGTCTTGTCAGCAGGAATGTCTCGCAGGGAGTGAGTGTGTCCCGCCTCCAGCAAGCTATTCATCTCCGTAGCACCTCCAAATGAGCTCTTCAAGCTGGGACCTGATTGACAGGCTAAACTACCCCCCTTTTACTCTTAAAAGTTTCAAGTTGACAACAGACTATGTAACCACCACAAACACTTTAAAGAGGTCTTGTGTAGCAGATTCACCCAATGCAGTGCACTGTTTGATCTCCTGACTGCTGCTTCCATGAGCACTGATGCAAGCAAGATGAAATCCTTGACACTTTATTCTTTCTGTTTACCCTGATGTTACTTTACATTGAATTGTAATCCACACTGAAGGCTGCAGTCCATGGTCTTAATCACCATCAGCAAGGGCTTCGAGTCTCCCTCACTGTCAGCAAGCAAGGATGTGTCGCTTGCGTATGACCGGTTGTTAATAAGCCTTCCTCCAATCCTGGTGCTGCATTCTTCCTGTACTCTAGCTTCTTGCACGGTTTGCTCAGTATACGGATTCAGTAAGTATGGTGGGGGGATACAACCCTGCCACACACCTTTCTTGATTTTAAACCATGCAGTATTACCTCTACTGTTCGCACAATTGCCTCGTGATCCATTTCTAGGTTCCCCAGTAGCACAGTGAAATATTAGGGAATTCTCATTCTTAGACTATTCGTAGTTTGTTGTGGTCCACACAATCCAATGCCTTTGCATAGTCCATAAAACATGTTTGTGGTGCTCTCTTCTTTTAGCCAGAAATCATGTGACAGCAGTGATATGCCTTGTTCCATGTCCCCTTCTGAATCTAACCTGGATTTCTGGCAGCTCCCTGTCAGTGTACTGCTACTACTATTTTTGAATGGTCTTCAGCAAAATTTTACTTGCTTGCGACACTAGTGATACTGTACTATAATTTGCGCATTCTGTTAGGTCACTTTTGTTTGACCTGAGTACAGATATGGGCCTCTTGCAGTCAGTTGGTCTAGGAGCTGCCTTCCAGATGTCTTGGCACAGACAGGTGAGAGCTTGCAGTGCTTCATCAGCCTGTTGAGACATTCTAATTGGCATTCCATCAACTTTTGGAGCCTTGTTTTTGGCACATGTTTTTGCTCATATGCTAACTTTTGATTTGGCTGAATGTTGACTAGTTCTTTTTGGTACAGCAGCACTGTATTAACATCTTTCGATGCTTCCTACGTTGTTCAATATGTTGCCCATAGAATCTTTCAATATTGCAACATGAGGCTTGGATATTTTTCCTTGAGTTCTTTCAGTAGAAGATCTGAACATGTTCTTTCTTTTGAGTTTTCTAACTCTAGGTTTCTGCACATTTCATTGTAATATTTGACTTTGTCTTCTGGAATTGCCCGATGACCTTTTCTTTCTGTTTTTTAATCATTTTATTGGGGGCTCTAAGCACACAATCCATACATCCATTGTGTCAAGCACATCTGTACATATGTTGCCATAATTTTTAAAACATTTTCTTTCTACTTGAGCCCTTGATATCACCTCATTTTCTACTCCCCCCCACCCCGTGAACCCTTGATAGGTTTTTTTTTTTTTTTCCCATGTCTTACACTGACCGCTATCTCTCTTCACCCACTTGTCTGTTGTCCATCCCTCTGGGAGGGGGTTATATATAGATCATTGTGATCTGTTCCCCCTCTCTCCCCGCACCTTTCTTTTACCCTCCTGGTATTGCTACTCTCTTTATTGGTCCTGAGGGGTTTATCTGTCCTGGATTCCCTGTGTTGCGAGCTCTTATCTGTACCAGTGTCATGCCCTGTTCTAGCCAGATTTGTAAGGTAGAATTGGGGTCATGATAGTTGGGTGGGGGTGTGCATTAAAGTACTAGAGGAACGTTGTATGTTTCATGGTTGCTGTACTGCACCCTGACTGGCTCATCCCTTCCTTGTGACCCTTCTGCAAGGGGATGTCCTACAGATGGGCTTTGGGTCTCTACTCTGCCCTCCACCTCATTCCCATTGATATGATTTTTTTTGTTTTGGGCCGCCCTGTGGAATTTTCTATTCAGCTCTTTGACTTCATAATTTCTACCATTTTCCATAGCTACTCTGCGATTAGGACCAAGTTTCAGAATCTTTTTAAGCGACACCATTCCTCTTGAATCTGTCATTGCCAGCCTAGTAAACCATACGGTTTTCTGCTTGAAAATGGCTAATACCAGTCCATTTCAGCTCACTAACGGCCTATGACAGATCTTCTTTATGCATTGCTTCGTTGTTGATGAGTTACAGGTTTTCAGACTCATACTTCATACTTTACAGGCTCGACAGCTGTTTCTTCTCATTTTGAATCATACCCCAGCCGCAACTGAAGGTCCCAAAGGCTTTCCTCCATCTGTGTCTTTATGGTGGATGCCGCTTTGAGAAGGCAGCTCTCCCTCAGTCGTGTTTTGAGTGCCTTCTGACCCGAGGGGCTCCCTGGCAGTGCCCTGCTGCTGTTCATGAGGCTTCCAGGGCTTGACCATGTTCTCATGCTGTCTGTAGCTCATTGCTACCAAGTGGACAGCCTGTCCCTTCTTCAGTCTGTTCTCACTCTGAGCAGACCTGCTGCTATTTGAAAATACTGGTGACGGAGCTTCCTGCTTCCCAGCAGTATACAGGCCACCGCAGTATGACAAACTGACAGACCAGTGGTGCAATATTGATTGAAGAGACAGAACTTACAATTTTTAAATGAGCAGTGCTTAATTAATGGAGGAAAATCAGGTTTGGGAAATACTATTCCTGAATAGTATTCTGTGAGCCAGACATCTTTGCCAGATCCAACCAGTGGTCAGTAGCCGTCCAGCCCACCTGACTCAGTGCAGAGTCGAAGGGAACTCCTAAGTTCCCCAGGACGCTGGCCTTTCAGAAGCAAATCGCTAGGCATTTCTTCCCAGATGTTTCTGGGTGAGGTCAAACTGCCAACTGTGTAGTTAATAGTAAAGCATTTTAGCACTTTCAACACCCAGGGCTCCAGTTCAGAGTTGTTAGATACATTTCAGTGGCAAAGATTCTCATTTTTAATGGGTTATAGAAGTTTTGTAACTGGATTAGTAAACGGAGTCTCAGGATCAAAGGACATTTAACTACCGTATATACTTGTGTATGAGCAGAGTTTTTCAGCACTTTTATTATTTTATTTTATTTATTTATTTTTAACATTTTATTAGGGGCTCATACAACTGTTATCCCAATCCATATACACATCCGTTGTGTAAAGCGCATTTGTACATCGTTTCTCAAAACATTTTCTCTCTACTTATACCCCCGACATGGTTTTGCTCTGTCTTGTTTTTATGCATGTTGTCTCCGCAGGCCTGTCTGGATAGGACAGGCTGGATGAACAATCTGGAGGAGAAAACAACG